CCCGGCTTCCTCCTACACACGCCCTGCAGCCTCGGCTTAGAGACATGGGCCAAGAGTGACCCAGGGAGACCCACCCCGGGTGAGTGCCGCTGGAGGCTGAGATCCAGAGCCCGCGGTCAGCGTGGGGAGGCACCTGGGGCGTTTTCTGTGCTGGGTGCCCCAGTGCCAGGGGCGAGGGGGCATCTGAGGAGATGTGACGGCCGCTGACACACTGGGGATCGAACCGGGGCCCTCCAGAGCTGCTCCTGCTTGAGTTAAAAGACCAGGGTGCCGGAGCTGGCGGCTGTCACAGGCTGGTATCGCCGGCGCACCAGTGGGTATCCGAGACGAGGTGGGGAGCAGAGCCGGACTCCGGAGGAAAGGCGCACTATCGGACAGGGTAGGTTGATCTGAGGGCGGAACGGTACAAGGGTGTTGCTAGGAGAGCTGCATTGTTGCCTAGATCCCGTGGTCAGGGAGGGATGGGCGCTGCCTGTTCTGCCACGCCGTCCCGGCGGCTGGTGCTGTCTCCTCAGTGACCGCCGGCAGAGCACCCTGCTGTCCGCTGGTCTGTCCCTTTTGGGCCCCGAATTCCCTCCTCCCGCCCGCAGCCGTGGCTGTGCCACGCTGGGCTGGCGCTCGTCCAGCACCACGCTGGGGCAGGCTGCGGGCAGCGCTTGTTCCTCCTCCTGTCCACACGTGGTCTCCCCGCCGCGTGGCGACTCGGCCTGGCACCATGACTGTCCCGGCACAGCTTGTTGCCCAAACACTTCAAGTTGCCCAACTTGTTCACAAGTCAGCCCGCCTTCCCCTGGCAGGGACCCGGCGCTGGGCTGTGGCCCGCCTGCTGGGAGCCTTGGGTGGCTGGGCCGCACGGCCCCAGAGACAGCGGCAAAGGCGCCTGCGCTGGAGACTGGGAGCCTTGACGTAGGCGTCTTCTGGCCTGCCATGGGCAGGGCCCCATCTCTCCTGAGACGTCTTAGTGCCGGACACATAGTGATGGGGTTTCCCTAAGTCCGGCTGTGCTGCCTCCAGCCTCGGGCAGGCAGCTGGTGACGCTGGGTCGGAGCGGGCATGGCCGGGGCGCAGCACTGCTTTGGGTTTGGACCTGCCCTGCAGCATCGTGCCCCATTACTCTGGGGCCATCCCGTTCCCCCCAGGACACCGCCTGCACTCCCTGCCCTGGTCTCTGGCACCCGGTTCTTCTGGCCTCCTGTTGCTCTGGGTCGGCTGGCAGGGGAGAGCTGGGGGCTCCTGGGAGGAGGCCCCATGGCTTGGAAAAGCCAGGCTCTTGACTGTGGACCAACCTTCTGCCCTGTGTTGTTTCAAAGGGAGTCGGCGCTGGCACCGGCTCTGAGCTAGGAGGCTAAGGAGGGCCCTGGGTCCCTTCAGACTGCGGGTGGAGCTAGCTCTCCATCAGAGCTCTGGGGAAAGAACGAGGAAGCGCAGAGAGAGCTGTTGGGAGGCTCCGGGCCAGGCACACGTCCTGCTAGGCAGCATTCCTGGGTGCTGTCAGGTCAATGACGCTGTATCGCAGCCCTGGACAGACCCATCCTTCCTCATCCAGGCTTGGGCTGAGAACGGGGGCCTGCAGTTGGCTCCCGAGGCCTTGCCTAGGCCCTGATTTGCGGCACTGCTCCTCACAGCCTGTGGCTGTCTGCTTAGCACAGCAAGTCAGGCCACTCGCTGGGCTGCTGCAATCCGGAGGTAGGAACCCTGGGGGAGGCCCCCGCTTTTGGACATCTCAGCTGGGGAGTTGCGGTCTCAGCAGAGAGAGACGCTGAGCGTTACTCCCCCATGCAGAGCTCACGATGCGCAATCCCCTACTGCGTTTTAGAGAGATCCCACAAGAGAACCCCATCCTGTGTAACTGTAATATGTGCCCCTGGGTCATGGGCTGGGCTCGAACCTGGGACCCTCTTGTCCACAGCCCAGAGGAGGAACTCCACTCACTGCTCTCGGTAGGAAGCTGTTCTCCTCACACCAGCCCCCAGAGGGTGAGGTGCTGCGCTCTGCCAGTGGGTGACACGGGTGATTGCTAGACACCAATAGACCGGTGGGGAGAGTGGCTCAGTGACGGGCCGAGTTAGGATTGAGAGGAGGCATTGAAATTACACAGGACTCTTTCGTCTGTGGTCCTCACAGCACTTTGCAGCTGGCTCTGCAGGAGAGTCTCTTACGGAAACCTACGCCAAGCACCTAGATTTGGCAGCTGCGTTGTGAGAGGCACTGAAACCTGGCTTCTGCGCCCAAAGTGACTGCGCTCTCTCAAATCCTCATTGCCTCTCCTGTCAAATGAGGAGAACCCACGCTTGACTGCTCCCTAAAGCAAGGGCCTTGCTCAGTAAGGGCCTAGAATTAACGCCAGTCAGATAGAGAAGCTCCCGGCTCCCAACCCAGTGCACCTTCCTCAAGGCCCAAATTTATTGAAGAGGAGCTGGAGGGTCAGGGGATGTTTTGCTTTAGTTCTGTCTGTCACGTGGCTACGGGGAGGTTTTTCTGTGGCTTATAACTTGGGAGAGTCGAACAACTTGGCCGAATTGAACCCGCTTTCCCAGGGATGGCGGACGGTCCATATAACTGGTTCCTACGCTAGATTGGGAAGATGTCCACAGTAAGCTGTGGGGGGGGGAATTGCATCATCAAAACTTGCTGATTTTGCTCAGACTTTCCAAGAACATTCAACTGGAACTAGAGGCCAAGTCTTGAATATTTCAGCTTGAACACTTCAAATGGGTCGGAGTTACAAGCAAGTGAAAACAGGGGATTATAATGGGAAAGGTCAGTCAACCTGAACGCAGGGGTTCCTACTGCTCCCCCTGTAAGCAGAGAGAACCCTTCACATGCAGCCACCTCTGGAGGCCCAGCGATGCTGTGGGAGCATGTCAGAAAGCGTGACACACTGTGTCGCGGAGAGCAGGCTGGGATTACCCAGGCCAGGGTGCTGGAGCGCCCCTAACTCGAGTGCAAAATGCCCAGGGGGGCACTGAGTGAGTCCCCTTGGTGGGGAGGAGGCCTCTGTCCAGCCCAGCCTCCGCAAGCCCCATGCTGTCCTCACTTGGCTCCGCTTTGGGCAGGCTGGGGATAGCCTTTCCGGTCTCCCATCTCAGGGCTGCCGTGGCCAGATCCTGCTTAACTTCCGAGCAGCACTGAGCTCGGCCCAGCTTGTGGTGATGAGCTGCTGGGATCCCCACGTGCAGCCTGTGGAGATGGGCCAGGTTGAGTGCAGTGCCTCGCTCTCCAGGCTGGTAACCTGCAGCTGGGAGCTCCTCCAGGCTGCCTGTTGGACAGCGGCTGAGGCCAGCCTGGGCCAGTCCCTCCCTCTCTGCAGCAGCAGTGAATGGAGCTGAGCTTCGGGCAGTGGGTGGGCCCCAGCAAAGCTGCTTCTAGCCTCAGACAGCCTGAGTGACCCCATGCAGGCTGCATAATCTGTGCCTCAGTTTGCCAGAAGAAGAACAGGAGTACTTGTGGCACCTTAGAGACTAACAAATTTATTAGTCTCTAAGGTGCCACAAATACTCCTGTTCTTCTTTTTGCGGATACAGACTAACACGGCTGTTACTCTGAAACCTGTCAGTTTGCCAGCTGTCAAAGGGGCTGTGGGTCCCAGGCACGTGGCTCGGTGTTGTCAGGCACTCTGCCGTGCCTCTGACATGCCAGCGACCCTCTGGTGCAGCTTTGACGGTGACTAGGGCCAAGGGGCTGCCCCTTGGACGGGGATCACTACCTCCCCCACTGGGCACTGTCCCTCCTGGGCACCAAGTGAGGCTGATCAGGTGATGGACATCTGCATTGTAGGGTGTGCCAGAAGGGCAGAGTTAAGGTGATGCTGGCAGCCTTAACCCCATCATGGCTGGCCGGGGCAGCTGACTTTGCAGCTGTACCATTCTTCTAATGACACCTTTGGGGAGAACCTCCTAGGGTTTGGAAAAGAAAAATGAGGAAACAAGTATTGCCACCCTCCTCCCTTACCCGATACCAGAGCGTGGGAGCCGCAGTCGTAGCCACTGTTGCACACGCCTTCTCTGCCAGTGTCTGGTTGGCTTCCTGAGCAATGCCAGCCAATAGGCTTACTGCTCCACACCAGCGCAGGCGTTCAGAGCGCCCCTCCTGCCCCAGGGCCAGGCCCTAGCCGAGGGCAAGCTGAGACATCGTCACTGTGTTGTGCACCCCCCGCCCCCAGCGATGGGCTCAGGCTCTCTGCAGACTCAGGTAGCATCACTGTGTCGTGCACATTTGGAGCAGCTCCCTCCCGCGATGGGCTTCGTCTTGCCACAGGCTCCGGCTGAGCCGCTCACACCGCCCGCTCCATGCCTAGGCCTGCCCAGCTGCGGGGCCTGTCTCCCTGGCGGGGAGGAGGGGCCCGGGAGCTCCCCCCCATGAACTAGGTCTTTATTTTGTTGTGTTTTTTCCTACTATTGCAACAGGCATCCCGGGCCCAAATCCTCGACAAAGCCACCGAGTACATCCAGTACATGCGCCGGAAAAACCACACACACCAGCAGGACATCGACGACCTCAAGCGCCAGAACGCGCTGCTGGAGCAGCAAGGTGAGCGGGCAGCGCCCGCGCGTCCAGGGCAGGGGGCGCTCGATGCTCCTGGGCATTTCGTCATCTGCCTGCGTCCCTGCCAGATCCGCAGCGCACAGCTGCTGGGCAGTGGGGGTGGTGCTTGTTGCCCGGGCACTGGGTTTCCCCAGTCCAAACAGCCGAGACAGCTGGGCTCTGGGGTGCCCTGGGGGTGAGGGCAGAGGGAGACTTGAGGGATTGGGTGGGGAATTGTATCTGTTTGGGACTGGGGGGCCCATCTGGTGGAGATTGTTGTGGGGCTTCATTGCAGAGTGAAAAGTGCTAAATAAATGGGGATCACGCCAGGGCTGCCTGGCTCCCTGCCGGCACTGGGTGTGGGGTGGGGGGATCTGCCCCACGTCTCGGCCCCTGGCTGGCCGGCTCCCTGCCGGCACTGGGTGTGGGGTGGGGGGATCTGCCCCACATCTCGTCCCCTGGCCGTCTGGCTCCCTGCCGGCACTGGGTGTGGGGTGGGGGCATCTGCCCCACATCTTAGCCCTGGGTCACCTGGCTCTATGCCAGCACTGGGTGAGGGGACCTGCCCCACATCTTAGCCCTGGCTCCCCGCTGGAGCTGAGCGGGCTCTGGAGTTCTCTGTCCTCGGGCCCGTTGCTGTGCGTGGCAGGGGGTCAGGGCGGCCCTGCTGACCATGACCCTGTGTTGTGGCCTCAGCTGTGGGTGGCTTCACTCCAGCTTCCCGAAGCTGCTCCGGCCACCCTGGCCCGTGCTGGGGGCTGGGCTGGCAGCGGTGCCTGCTCGGCGTTGGCGAACCCCTCGGGCGGTGGCAGCCAGAGCCTCGGGCCTGGGCTCTGCCGCCCCCTGGGGGTCACTCCGGGGCCCACGGGGGCCCCCTGACACTTCCCCTCTCCCCGCAGTCCGGGCGCTGGAGAAAGCGCGGTCGAGTGCCCAGCTGCAGGCCAACTACTCCTCGTCGGACAGCAGCCTCTACACAAACCCCAAGGGCAGCGCCATCTCCGCCTTCGACGGCGGCTCCGACTCCAGCTCCGAGTCGGAGCCGGATGAGCCTCAGAGCCGAAAGAAACTGCGCATGGAGGCCAGCTAGACGCCTGGCAGCGACGGACTGGCCCCGGCCGCCCCGGCGCCGTTAGCCCCCTGCCCGCCCGCTCTGTAAGGACTCTCCCTTCTCTAGTAGAGGCTCTCGGACTGCAGCTTTCTGCCCCTCCCCGCCCCGCCGGGCCCGGCAGCGTTTCCTCGGGGCCAGCCGGACGCTCGGCCTTTGGCTAGACTCTGGGCAGCGCTCGGCTCGGAGGAGACGCCCCCGCAAGTCGCCCGGGCCATTTTCTACGAGTGTTTCTATTTATACTAACGCGCCCCGTGAATCTGAGCCGCTGGGGGGAGGGGCAGAGAGCAGCGGTGCCCGTCTGGCGCGCCCAGAGCCAGCCTCTCCTCGCCGTTCGGGAAGGGCCCCACACTGCCCTGGCAGAAGTCAGGCCTCTGGCCTCCCGCTGTGATGCGCGAGGGGGGGGGAGGGGAGGAGTTTTTTTATCTCGGGTGAATGGTGATGAATTGCTATTTATTTCCTGCTCTCGGTTCGATCCGGCCAGACTCTGCCGCCGCCTCCGCCCCCGGAGGCCCAGGCGACAGATTCGTAGAGTAATGATCAAATTCCCTTGCGCGCGGGCGTCCCTCAGCCGCCCGCCTTTCGGATGTAAATACACCCCAAGCGTTAGAGCTGGTACTAATAACGGCTGCGTGGTGCTGGCCTCGGCCCAGGGCAGCCGGGCTCCGGCCCAGCGGGGTGCGAAGGGGGCACCGGGGCTGGGCCTGGCGACGGCCAGCGCGTGTGTATGTGTGTCTGTCCCTCTCTTTCCGTCCTGTCTTCTCCCTGCTCCCCCCGTCCCTGGTTCGTGGCGTTCTCCGATCTCTAGTGCACACCATGTAGCAGGCTCCCTGGCCAGGGCCTGGCTCCCTCCGGCGGAGCTGAAGTATGTTGTACATACTGCCCCAGAAGTGTCTTGCAAGTTAAGGCTTCCCCTTTACTATGAGACTATAAATAAAAATCTTATTTTATCCTTCCTGTTGGTGGCAGCGTTTTCTTGCGGCCTCTGAGGGGGAGCGCGCTTTGCCAGGCTGCCCTCCCCACTCCGCGTAGGAAACGCCCCCAGAGCCGGGCGGCGGCTCTACTTTGTTACAGATGTTGGGCATGCTGAGAACACCTTTGGGTGCTGGGATGCCCAGCTAGCCCCAGCACCAGGGGAGTGGTGGGGGACGTTTTGGCATCAGGCTGCCCCTGCCAGTTGGGCTGTAGTGAATTGGGCACGGGCCGGTTCTGTGGGCAGAGCTCCAGAACGAGTGTGAACACCCAGGTCTTTTCCTCCATCCCTCTCAAAGCAGGGCAGTAGCACTGTCCCCAGTTCACCACTGGGGAAACTGAGACATGGGGAAGGGACTTGCCTGGTGGTGTCCGGACAGAGCTGGGAATAGAGCCCAGGTCTCCTGAGTGCCTGGCCAATGCCCCGGCTGCTAGGCCGCAAGCTCGTTGGCTCCTCTGCTGGGCCCAGAGGAAGAGCAGGGGCTGCAGGAATTGGGCCCTGTCTGTGGGGTGGGGAACCAGCTGTGCTGGGGTGCGGAGAGTGGCTGGTGGGAGGATGCTCATCCCAGGCTGGTAACAGGAATGGGCACCCGGGGAGCTGCCTGGCAGCAGCACCAGATTGTTTCCTTGGGAGGGGGTCCAGGTGGCCAAGGCCTTAGCTCCCCGGCCCAGCTCTGGGGCATGCACCCAGCTTGGTGTAGAGGGGGAGGGGCCTTTGGGGCTGAGCAGCAGAGTGGGGCTGGGAGTCACAGCAGGGCAAGGGAAGGGTGAGAACCACTGATGGGCTGGCCCTGGGGGGCACCAAGGCCAGTGCCCATTGTGCTGGCAGGGCAGGGCTAGGGGGGAGGTGTCCCCTGCCCCCAACAGTTCTGTTCTCACCCTCCACCAATCCAGTCCCCCCTCATCTGTTTCTCCTGAGGTTCTTCCCCTCTCCGCCCTGGGAGGCTGCAGCATGGGCACCCCTGGTTGGACAGGCTGCCTGGCTCTCGCTGTCCCTCTGCCGTCTTCTCCAAGGCCCCAGCACCGCACCCTCATGTGACTCCATCCAGCCCATTAAATTACTGCCTGGCCTTGTGGGCATGGATGCTAATGGGGATGTCTGCTCACCTCCCTGCTCTGTGCCTCGGTTTCCCCTCACCTCATGTGCCTATTTTGAGTGAGAGCATCTGGGGGCAGGGACTGCTGCTGTGTGTGGGCTGCCCAGGGCCTGTTTCTCCCTGTGTCTGTGCCGCACCCGGTGGAACGAGGCCCTGCTCGGGGGTGAGGCAGCTGGGAACTGCCCTCAGATAACACTACAGGGCGTAGCTACTGCCGTGCCGGGTGGGGGTTGTTTATCTAAGCCACCATGCTGCCCTTCGCCTCTCCCCCTGCTGTCCATGGGGGGCAGATGCCACAACACCACTGTGGAGCTGGGCCGAGGGGCAGCACCCGGCCCTTCTCCTTGGCTAGGGACACTAGGCCTAGCCCCCCCCCACCCCCCCCGCCTTCTGCTGCTTCATGCAGAGGGAGCTGGCCTCTCCCACAGCTGAACTGCTGCTCTTCTAAACAAGGAACCCTGGCCCTTGCCCCAGGAGGTCATCAGAGCCCCTGTTCAGCACCACTGCCCTGCCCCACCCGCTGTGACACGCAGCCTACAGCTGTGCTCATGGGAAGCACGACTGAGTGACCCCTGTGGCTGCAGCTACTGGGCCTGAGAGCTGGAGTCACACAGCCATGAGACCCCCCCACCACCACTACCGCTTCCCCCTCAGCCCCTATCTTTCTGCCCACAGCTGGGTTCCAAGCGGCTCACCCCTAAGCCCCAGGGATGCCCCATCATGCTGGCCTGCAGGGCCCAATGCTGGGGGCATGGCCCTGGGACATGCAACCTGCTCAGTGGTTACAACCCTTCCTTGGCATGGGAGAGCCCCATTTTCAAATCTCTGCTCTGTGCATTGGAGCCAGGGTGCGAATCCAGCTCCCCCTGCTGGAGTGGGCCCTGACCACTGGGCTTGTGCCTGGCAGCTCTGGCCTCAGGGCACGAGAGGGTCATGGCTGCCCCCCTCACCATCACCCCCATCAATCTCAGGGTGGCTTGCCCCTAACACCCACCCTCCCTGGCTTACAAGATGCCATGTGACTCTGAGCTGCTCTTTGAGTAGGTTGGGGCTGCAGGCTCCTGCCCTGCTCCCACCGGTGCCCTGGTGGCAAGTTCTGGGAGGAGTTGGCACCTTCTCCCCCAGCCCTCAGTGGGGTCACTGGCAGGCACTTGGGGCTAATGGCATTAGAGCACTGGCCAAATGGAGCCTCCCCTTGGCCCTTCTCAGGGGTAGGCCCCTGGTGTTTTACTCACACAGCCCAGTCCGGAGCCCCCGGCCCCCGATTACTGATGTGCTAGGCAAGGTAAGAACAGAGACGGGGGCTGGAAAGGGCAGACCCAGCGGCCCGATCTCAGCCCCAAGGACAGGCCGGGCCAGCACGCAGGTCAGTCAGGCAGGGAGAACATGCCGCTCCAGCCACAGGACCTGGGTCATGCTGGGCCTGAGCCGAGGCCAGGCTGACTCCCGCGCCCACTGGCCCACCCCTAGCCTGCAGCAGTGCCAGGATGTGGTGGACAGGCCAGCTGAGCCCCGGGCTGGCTTGGTGCACCCTGCACTGGAGCCGAGGAGGCAGCCAGAAAAGGGTTAATAACCACGTTGACAATCACCCCGCAAGACCCGGGGCAGAGGGAATGGGGCTGCTGCCCATGTCAGTCCTGTCCCCGTAGCTAGCCTCCCACTGGATTTCCTGTTCCACGCAAGGCACCCAGCAGCAGGGACCGCGGCCCCTGCTGGAGCGACCGCCTCGGATCAGCCCTCATGCCGGTGCCAAGCCAAGGTTCAGCCAGTATCCGGCAGCAGGCCCTGTGGCACCAGCCTCCCTCTCTTCCCACGCTGTTAATTTTGAACAGGCCCCACACCCGCTCCCAGGTAGTGCCATGGGGCAGGGCCTGCACTCGCCAGGCTGGATGTCAGCAGCTCAGGCCGATTTAGGGTGGTGCCAAGGAAACCACCAGGGACTCAGTTCTGGTTTATTGATGCTAAAACGTTCACAGCCCGTTATTTCAGAACAGCTTTGCTCCTGGCAGGAAGGTTAGTGGGGCCTGGGACCCGTGTGTGCCTATGGCAGGGGGCCGGCGTGGCTATTTTTGGTCTGGCTAGCGCCCTGAGCTCGCACCAGCCTGAGGTGGGGAGTGCTCTGTCTGGCCCGCTCTCAAACCCCAAGGATGGCTCCGTGCTGCGCTCCGACTGCAGGGAGAGCCCGTCTGTACAGCCTCCGCGAAGGGAGCAGCCGCGTCTAGTCTCCGGCAGCCGCTGTCGCCTCTTCTGCCGCCGGCATGCCGGGGACGGGCTGCCGCAGGAAGTGCATGACCGCCCGCACCACTCGGTCGGGGGAGATGTTGTACACGGGATGCGTCGGTTGCTGCGAGGGGAAACACACCCGAGTTAACAGTGGCGAGGGGGGGACCTGCCCAGGTGAGCGGCTCACGTGGCCCAGGCACAAAGGGCAGGCGGGTGTGGAGGAAGCGTGGGGCAGAGGCACTGGGACGCTGTTTTACATCCCATGCACTAGGCATTATTCTGGGGCAGGTCTCTGGCCTGCATTATCCTGGAGCTCAGACGAGACTATCACAATGGGCCCTTCTTGGAATCTATGCATCAATTTTGTACCAGCTGCGGCCCTTTAAGAGGAGGAGGAGGAGGAAGGCTGCCCCTGCAGCCCACAGAGGCCATGGGAATCAGCCTGGGGCAGCCCGGCTGCGACCCAGACACAGGGCTGTGCTCTCCCACAGGGCTAGGGGTGCCTGGGAAAGGAAGAGGCTCCCGCTGACCCAGCCTCCATCACCAGGCCCCTTCTAAGGAGTCAGGCGTCCAGTCCTCGTGCACTCAAGACGCCCGGTGCTGAGGTGCACGCCCCTGCCTCCTACAGACCCGAATGCAAGGCTGGAATCCGCCCCTCCCCCCGTCTCCCCATGTGGGTCAGGAGCGCAGGGCGTGCCTCATGTGGTGGCTGCACCCGGGGCGCGCTGTGGTGTGATGCTGGGGAACGCCAGGCCGGCCCCAGACACAATGCTTCAGGGGGATCGCACTCGCGCCAGGCTGGCTGAGTGACAGGCCAGGCCAGTATTCACGTGGACCCAGCTCTAATCCCGCCCCATGCGACCCAGGGAGGAGGGCACGCAGCAATCCGTGCCATCCCGGTCACGGGCTGATGTGGGGAGGGCTCCATTGGCCCCCGGGCAGCGCCAGCCTCCTGCTGATGCCCGGCCGCGGACCCCCTTACCAGGCGATTCTCAGGAACTCCCAGCACCACCTCGTGGAGCAGGTCTCCGCTGCCGAAGTGCTGGGCTATTGACAGCCCACTCAGGCAGTAGCAGGTGTGATAAAAATCCCGTGACCTGCAGTCAAACAGGGACACGTTTGGTCAGACGCCCCCCCATGGCACAAAGCAGCCCCCCTATGGAGCCCCCCAGCACCACCCCTGTGAGCCCCAATGAGCCGCTCGATGCTGCAGCCTTCTCTTAACCCTTTCAGCGCTGTCCTGGGCCACGCTGGCTCTGGGGGATGCACCGGCCACAGAGCTCCAGGCAGCCAGCGCGTTCAGCGGGTGCTGTGACCTCCTCGCAGGTACTCACTTGCCCGGCTTGTCCAGCAGCCCCCCAACAGGGCACTGGCAGCACAGGAGGATGTATTCTTGCAGCGCCTGCTGG